TGATGGTCGGATCTATGTCGATAGTCCCATTTTGTTTTTCGGGGGTACAGGAAGACCCTTGGCAGTTGCCCCCAATGTCTGGTAGTCCCCGTTCATGGAGGGAGCGTCCCCGACGGTCACTGCCCGGACCCACGCACTCACGGTCATCCGCTGACTCTAACTCAGGCATCCTCTCTTTGTCAATTTATGTATTTATTTTTGTGAGCAAGAGAGACTCACTCTCGTTATTTACTTGCCTCCTCGGTGTTCATAGTTTATAAAGGAGGCAGGCTGGACACATGCTCAATTATTTTCCTTTATGGACAGTTTTCTGGACAGCAGGAGTTGGTGCCCTGTTATCCTGCAAACAGGGCAGGTTTGGTTTTGTCACCGGTATCGCTATGAACTCATGGGGAGAAACACGTGGGAGAGTCACTCTAACACTCCAAGGTTCCGTCCCAACTGGGATTTGCCAGACACGAGGACAGAGTATCTGATTCTCTGGGCCTCCGGTCGGGCCTGACGTGAACGATGGCGCCCCTCTCCCCCCGTCCCCCTCCTCCTCTGCAGGCGACCACTTTATCAAGTTCTTCGCTCCGTGGTGCGGCCACTGCAAAGCTCTGGCTCCGACCTGGGAGCAGCTGGCTCTGGGCCTTGAACATTCCGAAACTGTCAAGATTGGCAAGGTAAGTGGAGGCCCTTATTAAACTGGAAATAGACCGTTTTGGGGGCTGGATTAATTAGCGGAGGAGCCCATTATTCATTCTGTGTGCAAAGTCACAGACCTGATTTATTAATTCCATCGAGTGTGCCACTTGATAATTCATTTCACCTTCACAGATGGCAGCCCGGTTTCGAGTTTGCTGGCTTTTCCACGGCCCCGAGATAAATTACGGCCTTGGCTGCTTTGTTTATTTCCAAGAGACGGCCAATTTTTGAATTGGCAGCCCCAGAACCCGTTCTGCAAAGATACGGGGCAGAGCCTTGTAGAATGTTCCCTGGACGTCCTTGGAGCTCACCCAAGAGCTCTTTCCTAGAGGGCCCTCGACTCTGTGCTCACTGGGGCTCGCAAAAGACCCTTCTTCACAGCGAGCTGCAGTTTGCGCCGCTGCCTGGGATCCCTTCCAGCTCTTCCCACTTTGTACAGAGGAGCCAGAAGTGATAGCTAACAACTTCTGTATAACCGGATTTTCTGGAACTATCCAAAGCAGCTCCTGGGCCATCAAGTCCTTTTAATCTCATCCGTCCTCTGGCACCCCCAGACATCCTGCATGGAGTCATTATGTAAAAACCTCATTTTTCAACTTTGCCACGGGTTCATTTGTATACCGAAGTGGTACTGCAGGTCTGGGAGCGATAGTTAATAGAACGACCTGCTCAGGACAGTGAGATCATCAAAAGCATGATTTGAGGGGTTGAATACACCTGGGTGGCTGACCTCAGGTGAGACTTTACCATTCCCTCGTCTCCCCGTCTGCAAAACTGAGATAGGGTCCGCCGTGTCTGGTCGTGAAGATGAAAATACACGGCTTGGTGTGATGTGTGGGTACAGCACCTGCTCAGGGGATTGTCACCATTTTTATTATTATTAAATGGATCTTCATCTCTGCCTGTTAACTGCTTTCAATAATTTGTTGGGATCCCATGTTATGATCCTGATTTTATGTTATTGAACCTTTTATGGAAGTGATTATAAAATCATCTTCTTCTACTTTAGCCCATTTCTTATATCCTTCTTTTAGATTATTTCGTGAGCTCTTATGGGAGATAATTCTTTTTAGTGTATCTTAGTAGAAGCTCCTAGAAGGACCAGACACTTGAAGACATCAACCCAGGGAGCAGGGCGGGGGGCCCCCATCTCTAAGTGCACACGGCTGGGCTAGACTGGACCCTTGGAAAATCTCATCCCCTCCACAGACTTGGCTTGAGGCTCCTTTGCTTCAGCATAACCCATTCACTGCTGTCTCGCTACGGACTTATGGCTTAAAATAACATTTTCACCCTATTTTGTTGACATAGTGAAAAACAACTTAGTTCTGCTGCTTGCTGAATTTTTTCGCCCACCAAGGCTGGGCATCGAATCCAGGGTCTTCTGTACGCTAAGCGAGTGCTCTACCCCGAGCCACATCCCCAGACCTTTTTCTTATTTTGAAATAGGGTCTTGCTAAGTTGCCCATTGCTGGCCCCGAACAAGTGATCCTCCTACTTCAGCCTCCACTGTAGCTGGGACTACTGGCCTGTGCCACTATGCCTGGCTGCTAAGCCAACTTTGTGCCAATGGAAAATAAAAAAGAAGGGATTCAGAGCAAAATGTTTCATGAAAGTATTTAAAAGATTTAAATAAAAAAAAAAACTTGAAGAGCTGAGATCACTGGTAAATTAAGTTTATAGAATTAAGGACAGATTATAATCTTAGTTAGACATCTTAACAGAGCTGCCTCTCTTGTGTGCCAGGTGCTCCTCATGAAAACCGACTGTCGACTCCCTTGCTTTTGTGTGCATGTGTGCTGGGGATGGAGCCCAGGGCCTTGTGCCTGCTGAGGACACACTCTTATCCCAGAGCTGCGTCCTGAGGCCTCCCTGCTTAATTAGAAAACTGCATGAGTGGGAGCAGGAGAGCAGGTTTACAAACGGACACTGAACTGTCCAGGCCCTGCTCACTCACGGCAGCCTGGCTCACGCCCCCTTCCCAGATATCAGGCTGGACCTTGACTCCAGCCGCCAACTGTTCCAGTTAGAAGGCCGCTTCCCAAACGTCGTCATTTTTCAACTGGGTTCAAGTGAATCCTGTCTCTAAAATAAATCTTGTCGCTCTGCTCCATTAGCTCAGGTGTATCTTGGGGTGGCTTCTAGGAAAAGTCTCTCTAAAAACTGCAGCTTGCTGGCGTAGATGCTACAGAACCTGAACTTTAAAAAACAGTCTTTTTTTTTTTTAAGTACAAAGTGTCTGACATTCCCTTTAGCAAAAAGGACATGAGGACACTGACCAGGAGCATGATTGTGCTTTGTTTCCAGGTGGACTGCACGCAGCACTACGGACTCTGCTCAGAAAACCAGGTCCGCGGCTATCCTACTCTTCTCTGGTTCCGAGACGGTAAGAAGGTAGGTCTCGGGTTCCTGGTGAGGAGACAGAGTTCCTCCTGACAGCAGAGGGCGGAGTTGCTGAGGGGGGTGACCGGTGCAGGGAATGGCCATGGTCAGCTGTTTGGACCTTGGCCTCCAGGAACGTGTCCCAGGGAACCAATGTCTTTCTCTTAAGGAGATCTGGAGAGTTAGGAGAAGCCCTTCTGCTATTTTGAAGTGTTTCAGGGGCTCAGGTTGTCATGAGAATAGCCCAGAGGCACAGGCTAACTGTGCTGTGGCCAGAGACGCAGGCCAGGCCTCAGAGCAGGGACAGTGCTGGCTCTCAGTAGGGTTCTGCCCCTCCATGCCTGGCACGTGGTCATCCTCTTATGGTTCCCCAGGCAGCATGAGGGCTCGCTGGAGCTACAAAGTCTGTCACCAACACCAAGCTTCAAATCTCTCCTTTCCATCCAAGTGGGAGCAGGCAAAGCTTGCTCAGGGTGCACAGCTGAGACACCTGGGGGGGGGGGTCCCCATGGGGCGAGCGGGGCCGGGGAGGTCAGTGGTACAGAGTGCTGACATGTGCTGACCAGGGGGTCTCCACACGGCCCGCGTGGCCCTGGTCTCCGACAGGTCGATCAGTACAAGGGAAAGCGGGACTTGGAGTCACTGAGAGACTATGTGGAGTCGCAGCTGCAGGGTCCAGAGACGGGAACCCCAGAGACTGTGGAGCCCTCAGAGGCACCAGCGATGGCAGCGGAGCCCACAGGTGACAAGGTGGGTGTTTGCACTCTCTCAGGAGGGATGGAGAGGGGCCATGGCCACCTGCCTGACAGGGAGGGCACTCCGACATCGTGGAGTTGGCTGAGATGCCTCTCGCTCGACAGGAAGCATCTTCTCCATCTCCTCTTACGGGCTTGAAGGGGTGAGAGTGAACAAAAGCTTCCCTTTTAAAAGACCGAGGTAGATGTGAGCCGAATCTGGGGATGGTGTGTGACGCCCATCATCTAGGAAAGCGTTCGGTTTTGGTGGAACTTGGAGGTATTGGCTATGGGTCTCGACTGCTTGCCGTTTCCGGTCTCTTGACACAACCTGGCAGCAGTCCCTCGATTGTGATCGGGTGGCAAAGGCCCCGGAGAGACTGTGGCAGAGAGGTCGGGTGCGGCGGGGCGAGGAGGCCAGCCCGCCGTAGGATGCCTGCTTTGTCTGGGCAGCCTCTGGAGGGCCAGCGTGCTGTGCTCCTTCAGACAGAGCCAGGCTGAAGATCCACTCACCCTGCGTTTGTCCCCAGGCCACGTCAGGTCCTGTCTTAGCTGCCAGGGAACAAAATTAAGACCCACTTTGTGCCTGAGAAGGGCACCGGGTCCGTGGGGGAGACAGGACAAGCTGGTGTCCTGGACTGTGACCAGTGTGGGGGCAGCCAAGTTAGCTGGAGAGGAAGGAGAGGCGCCTCTGTCTGCAGGAGGGACACGGCTCCCAGGGCTGCCAGGGGAGGCACCAGGAGCAGGGGTGCGGCTGTCAGTCACCCGGTGTGTCAATCAGCCAGTGTGTTCTGGGTGGGGCCTGAGGTGCCGGGAGGAGTGAGGTGGAAACAGGCCATGGGTGCACTGGAGGAGGCTCAGGTGAGGCCAGAGCTGGAATGCAGGGGACACAGCCAACTCAGGGCTCCCTGAATTTCTAGGGTGTCCCCACAGTGTTTCAAGCAGTTGTGAAACATGGAGAGACAACCTATGGGCTGCAGGTGTGAATCGAGCTGTTGCCTTAGGCCATGAAAGATGAGACCCCCAACTAAGGTGTGACAGTAAGGACCGAGGAGGAGCAAGTGTAAGGGTCCTGCTCTAGGGAGCAGCTGGAGGGGTCTGATTTCTGGACCGTCCAAGCACAGAGAAGGACCAGAGCAGAGGCGACAGGTTTGGTTTCAGGGTGTTGGTGTCCAGGGCTCGTGTTTAGGTGGAGATGCGCAGGGGACAGTTACCTACAGGACTCCGGAGCCACGGCAGGAGGTCTGCCAGAGGAGCGGGGCCATGGGCTGTCTGTCAGCTTTCCCTGGAAACTGACGCCAAAGGCCCCAGTGAGATTATTCAAGAGGAGTCTCCCGTGTGCTCCCCAGGGGGTCAGTGCCTCAATTTCCCCGTCTGCCAACATTTCCATGGCTCAGCTGCAGGTAGAAAACTAAATGAAGAAAGATGGTACCTGTACTGAACGTGCACTGACCTTTTTCTTGTCCCCTAAACAAGAGTGTCACAACTGTTTACGTGGCAGTTGCAATGGATTATTAAGACCCATTGAGACATGACGTGAGACACGGATCCCTGACAGCAGCCCTGGTTCACGGAGCTGCAGGATAACTCGCCCCCAGTCTTGGTGTGAGGAGAGGGTCCTGGAGCCATTTTTGGAGACGTGCACAAACCCAATGCTGTAAAGGACAGTCTGGGTAGAATTGCTTTGCAGCGGGCTGCCGGGGGGCACCCTCCCTGGAAATCCCCCGACAGGGCTTGGATGAGCACCTCTCGGTGACCTTACACGTGGAATGGGAAGACGCCGGTTCTGTGTCAACACGGCGTTGCCCGTGTTGCTGCCCTTGCTGTGCCAGGTTCCCTCTGTGACAGAGAAGGTGAAGCCTCCCAGGGGTGATGGGACAGACGGGAGGCAGCATGTGAGGAAGCCTCAGGTCACTTGGTGAGGGGACAAGTGCGACTCCCCCCCCCCCCCAGGCTGGGAGGTGCGGTCTGCACCTGAGCCCCGCCCTGGGCAGACTTGGGGGGCAGGACCGAGGTCTGAGGGTGTCTTCCTGGCATTTCCCGCCTGTCCCAATCCCTGTAAGACAGCAGCCACCTCGTCATAGCTGCCCCTGCGATGACCTCTGTGCAGTGCAAGTTCCGTGTATATTTCTGGGTGACTCTGGAGCACGCAGAACAGCGTTTTCAAGGGGGGGACGGGTCTTGTATCTCTGCCCCGCTGTAGCTGAAGTGATGTGTTTCAACTGTGGTTTTGTCTTTCCCGGAAGGTCGCCGTGTTGGCACTCACTGAAAAGAACTTTGACGACAGCGTTGCAGAAGGAATGACCTTCATCAAGTTTTATGCTCCGTGGTGAGTGGCTGCTTCATCAGCACAGCCTTCCTCCTGCTGTGCTCCAGTCACAGCGGGTCCGCCCCCTCAGTAGCAAACCCCCCAGACTTGACACTGGGCAGATTCCACATTGGCACAAAGGTCGTATGGGAAACAAGGAGATGTTCTCACCGTGCCCCTCGATTCAAATACGCTGAAGTTCCGTGGCACGCACGATGGTTCATAGGGAAAGAGGTTGATTTAGTTACAGCTCCGTCTACAAAAATGGAGGTGATTGACGATGGCCCCCACGAAACACGGTCTGGCATCTGGGTGCTTTCCAGGCTGATGGTTTCGGAGTTAGACCATGACCATCACCAGGTCGCTCTGCTCCTCTTTTTCTTTCACATGACGGGACAGAGAGACCCAGTGGAGCTCGGCTTTCTGTGAGAGCCATTCAGTATGTGGCCCAGTTACCCCAACGTTCCTATCCCGGGGTCCTTGAGGAGCAGAGTTGAATGGAGAGCAAATCATCTGAGGCCAAGACAGCCTGACAGTGTGTGTGGGGGGGATGACAGGAGACCAGCCCTAACCCACTGTAACTCTGCATGTCCTTCGACCCCGCGGAGCCTGTTTCCTCAGCGGTCAGCAGGGAGCAGCGCTTGGTCTTCACAAGCCAAACGCTCCGTCGGGCCAGGAGGGTGGCAGACTCCACCTGGACCTGCACAGGGAAGGGCGCCGATGTCACTTGGCCCGGAGCTTGTTCACGCCAGGTCCTTGGGAGGAACCGCAATGTCAGGGACAGAGAGTGGGCACAGGACTCCTCTGACCCGTGTGATTTTTAAAGACTGGACACGCTCATCCACACGGCCCTCAAGAGTGCTCTCTGTTTTTAAAAACCCTAAAGCGATACAGGTCACGCTTGAGGCAAGAACATCACCTTTCATGGAGCCGCCCGAGTCTCGGGAGAGGGTCAGGAAGAAGAGGGAGTCGACCAAGGGGAACAAGGGAGGGTTCCCACCGAACTCTGCAGTGGCCTTTTCCAAATTGCTGAAGTGTCCAAGAAGCCTTGAAATTCTGGAATTTTAAGACCGCTAACAGTCGCAGCTAAAATATTCCCAGAATTCAAGTGATTTTTTAAGATTCTGCTTCACTTCCGGTCCAAACCCTTGTGCTCATAAGTTCCTGAAACCAGCTAGCCCCAGCTTCTCCAAACCTACACTTTTCACACCGCCTCATCTCTCTCCAGTTATCTGAATTGACTGAATTCCTTGTGCAGCATGGGGGGGCGGGGGCAGGAGGTGAGGAGGGAAGAGTTAGTATCACCCAAGGGAGAATCTGACATGTTGGAAGTTTCTAGGCAACTGTTGACCATCTCGTGCAGAAGCCGCAAAGCCCTGGCAGGGAGTGACCTTGACCCCAGGGCCTCACCACAGCTCTCACGCTCTGTTCCTAGGTGCGGTCACTGTAAGAATCTGGCTCCCACGTGGGAGGAACTCGCTCAGAAGGAATTCCCAGGTCTGGCCAATGTCAAGATCGCTGAGGTCGACTGCACCGTGGAGCGGGACGTTTGCAGCAAGTACTCGGTGGGTTTGCTGCGTGAAACCGCACCTGGGGTGGGTGGGCCTGGGTGAAACCAGGCCTGGGGCCTCCAGAAGTCAGGAGCCAGTCAGTCCCCAGTGGTCACACTGTGGAGTTGTGGGCTCAGGAGATGGTGCCCTCTGCCCTCATCCCCACAAAGCATGGCTAGGGCCCTTTTGAGATGTTTTGCTGTGAGGGGCAGAAGCTACTCTCAGAGGTGAGGGGTCTCTGCCTGGCTTTTGTGCTGAGAATACCAACCAGCGCCACTGCTGGTGCTGATGGACCCCCGAGGGGCTCTGTCTCCAGACATATCCAGCACCTGAAGGACAGTGTCTGAGCTCAAGAAGTACTTGAGCCAGGCATGTGCTTGGGGGAACCGTTACCTTCATTCCCAGCTGGTCACACAATCTAATGACCCAGGGGATTTGTGATTCACATTTTTCTTTTGTTGTTGTTGGTGGTATTTATTTATTTATTTATTTAGTTTTTAAGGTTTGGGGATTGAACCCAGGGGTGTGTGCTTGACAGGTGCTCTACACTGAGCCCCAGCCTCCGACTCTTCTTCTTCTTATTTAATTCTTTTTGGTACTGGGAATTGAATTCAGGGGCACTGGACACTGAGCCACACCCCCAGCCCTATTTTGTATTTTATTTAGAGACAGGGTCTCACGGAGTTGCTGAGCGCCTCCCTGTTGCTGGGGCCAGCTTGGAACTCGTGATCTTCCTTAAAAAAACATTTGGAGCCTCGGAGGTTTATGACCTCATTAGGTGGACGTGGTTTACTTGTCATGAACAGATGCTAGTTACTTGTTGGGCCTGGAAATTTTTAAGAGAAAAGAGGTGAGCCGCAGCTGGAAAGCGCATGGCTGGGTGCTGCGCAGAGGAGCACGGCTTCCCCCAACACGTTAGGAATGTAGACGACAGGCCCCGCCCCAGAGGTGAAGATTCAGAGTCTCCACTTGAGGGTAAAACCATCCCTTTGACACCAGCCCTTCATGGAATTTGGACTAAATAGTAAGTGTGGAGCCCTCAAGGCAGTGCTTTCTTGGACACTGTCTGGTCCTTTCATGGTCTGTCCAGTTTCAGATTTCGGCCCTGGCATTTCCCAGGCAGTCTGGTTTCACTTTGTGTGTGACTCAGCGCGATGGTTTTCAATCTCTCCCCCCCCCCTTTTAAAGGTACGAGGCTACCCCACCTTGTTGCTTTTCCGGGGAGGCAAAAAAGTCGGTGAGCACAGCGGCGGTCGAGACCTGGAGTCCTTACACCAGTTCGTCCTGCGCCAGGCGAAAGACGAACTCTGAAACCCACCAGGGAGTCTCCTGTCCTGCCTGGCCACCCGACACCCGGTGGACAGGAGCGACGTCGTTCGGACATCCAGGGTTCGAGGGATGGTTATCCAGAAAGCTGAATGTATGAACTTGTGGTGTCTCCTTCACGTGTTTTTTTTAAGCCAACTCGCTCTACGGATTCTTGATTTAAGTTCCTCTAAGCCAATGTGTCACTCATGGTCACTGTGCAAGTGAAATGTTCTCAGTGGCAATCCACCCCCTCCACCACCCTTTTCTTGATGAAATTAAAGGGGTTTCCTCTGAGACTAAAAGAGTCAAGGGAAATGAAGTTACTGGACTATTTTGGGCTCCCAAGTGATTTTTGATAAAAGCATCACCCCCCCCCCAAAAAAAACATAGTTCTTTGCACTGCCCCTGAGTTCTGCAGAGGTGGCCTTGTGGCAGAATTGATATTTTCTCTGACCTGAAGGTCACAACTGACTTGTTAATCATGTGGCTGGTTTGTACCTTGGAGCAGATTTCAACACACAAACCTGTCCCCATGGGAAATACCCTCGTGGCCACTGCTGAGTCTTGTTCTGTGGGGACTGACTTACTTCTCTTGTGGGCGGAAGTCCCCCATAATACTGCAGTGGCACTGTGGGCCGCGCCCCAGCACTTGTGCCGAGCCCGTCATTCGATGCCCCCCCCCCAGCAGTTCTCGTCACAGGGGACTCATGTTTGCTTCACACGGGCACCAGGTTTCATCCGCTCGTGTGAACACAAAGCCGGGGTCCCTGTGAACATTAGGGTTCCATGTCTTCCGTACAAAGTGCGTGCGGGGGAGGAAAGTCCCACTCGTCTGGTCCTAACTGCCCTGTCAGCCAGTGGCAGATGCTGGCTGTGTCTGCCACCTGGGGCGACAGGACCAGAGGGGCTTTCTCAGGCCTGCAGCTCCACTCCGGAGCCCCTGGAGAAATGGCTTCTGATTCTGTTCCTCAGTCATCCTCCTGTGAACCTGCTATGTGCTGTCTGCCTTGGAGGAGGTCGGCTTTCTAATATGCCAACAGAGGGACCTCGAGACCAAAGACTGACGTCGGCAGGTTGCGCTGGCCCCCACGTGCCCAGAGGTCAGTGTCGGCCCCCTCCTAACTCAGGCCACGCTTGGCAACTGGACGTCCTTCCTAGCACCCTTGGACATGAGCACCCGTGGGATGGAGCTCATGATGACCACCTGGCGACCAGCCCCCTCCCCCACCCCAAGCACAGGGCGTCATCCCCAGGTAGCGAGCGCAGAGCAGCTGGCGTGGGGACTCTCAGAAGCAAGACCACATCTACTGTCTGAGGCAGACGGTAACAAAGCAGCATCTCCGCCAGCCTCTGCCTCAAAGGAAATCTTTATTCATCAGGTGTGGTTCACAGATATCCTTCAGAAAAAAAAAAAAAAAAATTACCGAACAGCTTTCTAGAAAAGCCCAGCCACCAGGAGTGGCTTTAGCTTTGCATCATGAGTCTTGTATTCAGAGAAAATCAAAGTGGTACAATTTGTTTACACTCTACTTTCTAAATAAACTTTTTTTTTTTAAAAAGTCTGGTCTTTTCTTAAATGTTACAGCAGAATGGATATAAAATAGGCAATAAATTATAGTTTCTATTTACAAAAAAAAAGCTGTAGGTGCAAACAGTTAAAGATTATAAATGTATTATTTAATCAGTTTAGTATGAAATTGGTTTCCCAGTACATGATTGCGAAAAAGACATTTAAAAAATATTCTAAGATTTAATCTGAGTCTTACTTTCTACAAAAGGAAACTGTGATCTCTGTTCATGAACAGCGTATGCCCGTCTCCAAGACCCATGCTTAACGTCAGGCGCTCCTTCCTCCTCGGGTTCCCCTTCCTCCTAGGGTTCCCCACTCCGGGTGCTAACCCCGTCACACGGTATCCATAGAGTGAAAGGCAAAGGTCCTCGCTCAGGAAGGAGATGGGATGGGAGAACCAACATTCCTGAAGTTAGCGAGCTTTTCAAAGACTGGTCTGATAAAGAAGAGGTGGGGACTGCTTTCAGATGTGACGTAGTTAAAACCAAGGCTGCTGCAAGCGCTCCCCCCAACTTGCAGCCTCGCCTCAGAGGCTGAGCCATCTCCTTTTGGTTCTAGCGGGGAGCTGGGTGGAGAGGGTGTGGTTTCTTTTGACTGGAATAAGGACATCTTCACTCCAGCCAAGCTCCGGCACAAACATGAAGAGTTAACCATGGAGTTAAAAAGGCACCTTCCTGGAGCCCTGGTTCCCATCCTGGCTGCTGATCCCATATGAAAATGGGATTGAGATCTATGAATCCAGGCCTCCCCCTCCATTCCTACTACCTCTGTGCAATCTACCTTTGACGCCTAATATCCCACCAGCTCATACTTCAGCTGAGAATACGCCACTCCTTCAAAAAAAATTTCCCCCCTATTTATTCATGGACACCACAATCTAAAGCAAAGCTAATGCTGGTGGGTTCTTTGTCTTGGCAGGGGGAGGTGCCTTTCAGGGTTAGGTTCCTGCACTTGTCAGACCTCATGCTGCAAATACAGACTCAGCTTCCTACAGACCAACAACTACCCATGGCATTTACGAAGTGAGCGGATTATTAATGTCCTTTTAGAAATCCTCCTAGAGCAGTAAGGCACCAGCATGAGACGGTGTCACGGTCTCGGCTTCCCACTCCCGCTGCTGGTCTTTTTAAGGCAGATGAAATCCCGGGGTCCACAGTAGGATTTGTGCACGCAGCAGCTGGTTTGGGTTAATGGCATCCACAAGCTCTTACGACCATGTTCCTGTATTTTTTCAAGATGACATTGGAGTTGTCATCAAAGTAAAGAACTGAGATGGCATTCAGTTTAGTTGGTGCACAGCACGGTTTGGGGACATACTCGGGATTCATAAGGTGAACCTGTTCCAAAACGGAAACGGGGGCGGGGGGGGGGAAGGGTCCTGTTAGAAATGATGACTGGTCTGGGTTCCATCCCAGTTCCCCAGGGAAGGGTCTGGGAACTCACCAAGGTCTGTACGATGGCGTGGTTGGTGGCGTTCATGTGTGCATTGAGTGGAAAGGAGCATTCTCCGTCACAGTAGTTGGCGGCATAGCCCTTGGGCGCGATGATCCAGTCCTTGATTGTAAAGCAAAAGGAAGCAACAGAAGGTGAACATCCCGAAGCTCCTGTGCCCTCAGCAACCCCGGGAGGAGGCGGTGCCCGTGCTGCGGGGCTTAGCAGACTGAGGCAGGGAGGCTCAGGCATGAGTCTATGTTCACATTCAGGTGTGAACCTGGTCCATCTGACTCCCAATCCCTCACTCCTTCCACAGGCCCACAGGACCTCAGCTGCCATCCGCCCCTTAAGCCTGGGATTGCACGTGCAGCCAACTTTAGGTAAAGATCCCCTCAATTAATGATAGGGTGGCATCCCCAACAGCCATTGTAGGTTGAAAATACAAACTGAAATGCACTCAACACCCCCAACCTGCAGAGCACCCTGGCTGAGCAAGAATGCCACCCTCATATAAAAACCACCTTCTGTCATTCATCACCTGTAACTAAATTAGCTTCCTACAAACTAGTGGTGGTTCTTGGGTGTGGAGCCAAACATTGGTGCTCATCTGGCTAGTTGGGGTGAATCTATTTATAGCCATTAGAGAAGTTAACTAGTAGATAAATTTTTCCAGCCCCCTTTCAAAACAGCTAAACTTTGCTTAAATACTAGAATAAATATATGCCCTGTAGGCTTTGAAAGGAGGAGGTCAGAGTGTGGGAGAATATGGGCATTGAAACCGAGGGATCACAAAGCTTGGGAACCCAGAAAGGTATCAGTGGGCGCTTGGCCCACCTCTGTCTCACTCCAGAAGCATGAGAATTTGCGAGGGCTCCTAGGACTTCTACAGAGGAGTCCTCTCACCCATGAAGCTCCGGGACTATGGTGATGGCTGCTGGACCTTGGCCCTCCCTGTTGTCCAGAGGACTCACCTGCCATCCCAGGTCTTGGAAGCTCACATACAGCTCATGCTTCTTGCAGGCTGTTTTTAACTCACTGCTGTTGTAATCTGTTGGAGGAGATCAGAAGATGTGCCCATTAACTCATTCATTCCTTCACTTGAAAACTGACACAGAGAGCCTGCGACAGGCCAGGCACTGCACCAGGCCACTGTAGACACACAGGGTCACTCAGTGACTCCCTTGGGTTCCCGCTTGTTTTCCTTTTGTCCAATCTGGGGTCAGTCCTGGGCATACTCTTGGCTCAAATGGACACTTTAAAGCAACAGATGTATGTGGTGCACCTGCTGTATGCAGGGCCTCTAGAGAGATGTGACAAGATGCCCACTGGACTTGGAAGGCATGGCATTTTCATTAGCAGGTGACAGCCAGGTAGGATTCACTGTGTTTCAAACATGCAGCATCCTGAAGCTGCATGAGTCTTTGATGAGAGCTGCTGGGCAGGAGGGTCTCCTGAAGGAAGTCTTAGGGAGTGGGGCCCAACAAGGAGGCCCAGGAATGGGCGAGGGGACAGGGAGACACTGTGCAGGGGGCACGCTCTCTTGTTTTGTATTCCATTTGCACTGCCAGGATGGAGCTGGGTTGAGCTCCTACACTGCACTAACACCATGACTCCAAAGCCAGTGCTTCCTGGTGAGAACCTGCCGAAGCTCATGTAGCTGCCCCACGCGATTCAGGAACCTCCAGCCTGGGTTGGCCAGTGAGAGGACTGAGCATCTTAACTCATCTAGACCCATAGGAGCAGCCCTTCAGTGTGACATGCCTGCTGCCTGGCACCATAGGAAGTAGGGAGATAAATCAGACATGACTTCCATCCTCTGAGAACTTGGAGAATCAAAGGGGCGGTGTGAGACACGTACACCAGTCGTTCAGATATGACTCAGAACATTAAAAGTCATGGATAAGGTCAATGTCAATAGGTAAATACCATTTAGAGAAGGAACTGTTCAGGGTGGAAGGGAGAGGAAAACTGTAGCTCTGTTGGAATGGATTTGAGGATCTGCAAAGGGGAGTCCAGGGAGAAAAAATTGGAGACATGAGTGAGCCAGATTAAAACACAATGATTTGGATTATTATTATTATTTTTTTTTTTTACCAAGGCACAGCTAGAGAATATTTAAAAGTGTAATTCTAAAGGCTCCATTAACCTGGTAGCTGTGTGTGACAGTTCTAGAGAGGGCAGAGATGCACGATGAGGGAAAGACATCGGAGAAAGTTTCTGCCTCTGGTATGATTTCACTGGCTACAGAGCCCACCTCATGGACACGCCACCTCTGCCCTTGTCAACCACGTGAGCCAATAAATTACCTAACTTTCAAATGCCTGTTTGAACTGGATTCTTACACGCATACTCCCAGAATTCCTGGCCCTGAATCAGGAGAGAGCATGCGGATTTCAAGATTTGTAAGGAAAAGAAACAGGAGCAGCTCAGGCCGGTCACCTATACAGAGAAGAGACTTGGGCCAACACTTTGAGGTGGTTTGTTATGTCTAAATTTATTTAGTTTTCCCACTGCCTTCCACCCTAACTTCAATGCCAAGCACCTAGGAGGTGAAAAAAGCAAAACCACACTAGAAGGAAATTTTCACAGTGCAGGGCACCAGGAATTCTCAGTATAAACCCCCACTGTAGGACAAGACAAAGATCCCCTGTTAAAAATCACCCCTCATTTTGTTGCAAATGGACTTCCAGTTTTCCTAGCATCATTTGTTCAAGAAGCTATCTTTCCTCCAATGTATGTTTTTGGCAACTTTGTCTAATATAAGATAAAAATACTTAAGCGGGTTAGTCTCTGTGTCCTCTATTCTATACCATTGGTCTAGCGGCCTGTTTTGGTGCCAATACCATGCTGGTTTTGTTACTATTGCTCTGTAGTATAGTTTAAGGTCTGGTATAGAGAGGCCACCTGCTTCACTCTTCCTGCTAAGGATTGCTTTAGCTATTCTTGGTCTCTTATTTTTCCAGATGAATTTCATGACTGCTTTTTTCTATTTTAGCAGTAATGAGATTCCTTGGAAAACTGGGAATGGAGCCATCTTTTGACCCAGCTATCCCATTCCTCGGTCTATACCCAAAGGACTTAAAAACAGCATACTACAGGGTCACAGCCACGTCAACATTTATTGCAGCACAATTCACAATAGCTAAACTGTGAAACCAACCTAGATGCCCTTCAGTAGATGAATGGATAAAGAAAATGTGGTATATGTATACAATGGAATTTTACTCAGCAATAAAAGAGAATGAAATCATGGCATTTGCAGGTAAATGAATGGAGTTGGAGAACATAATGTAAGTGAAGTTAGCCAATCCCAAAAAACCAAATGCTGAATGTTTTCTCTGATATAAGGAGGCTGATTCATAGTGGGATTGGGAAGGGGAGCATGGGAGGAATAGACGAACTCTAGATAGGGCAGA